GGAGATAAAAAGCCCCCAGGACAAAGATTCAGTGTGGGCACTCATGCCCCTTCTCAGGCATGAACATTCTGTTTCTTCCTAAACTCTAGGGGTCCCCACAAGACTTGCAACCAGGGGAGCAGTGAGCAGCTGCAGCCCGACCCGGGCTTACCTCCTGATCCTCTCTCCAAGGCCCCCTTCTTCTCTGACTTCCCAGTGAGCTAAAGCAATTGGGACACTGTGACCTTCACTTCCCGGTGAGCTCACAGCAGCTCCACCTTGGCTCACTTATGTCCTATAACGTTTCTAGGGAGTCAAAGCAGCCCTGCCTAGGCTCTCTTCTACCTTAATTCCTTTGTTTCACTGTCCCCAGCTTTAATAAACATACTCTCGAACCCATCTGGACTCACTTTGTGAGATCTTTTCTACATGAAGTCAAGAACCACACATGACAGGCTGGCCTGAGGCAGACCCGCTCTGGACGGGTCCCTGTCCGGTGACAATGTCAATGCGCTTCCACCCCGACCTGCCCAGGCAGGGGATGCTTTTGTTCTAATTAGTCATCCCACTTGCCGGGCCCCCACTACAGATTTCCTCTCCTCATCAGCACACGGCACACTCATACGGACTCATCCCAGGCTGGGGCCACTCTAGTGATTGTTTTCTACAGAGATGGCGTCACACTTTACTCCAGCTCCTGTCAGCTGCAGGAGGTGGTTAAACAGGTGCCCTCCTGTTGCAGCCTGGAGACATTCAGGACCACACCTCAGTGCACGCTGGCCACTTCCCCAGGTGGCTTCAGAGGCAGGCGGTCACCTGAGGTACCAGACAAACACTCAGGTGGGCACACAATGACCCTAACACCTGTGCAGATGCCATGGCCACCAGCCCCGCCCCAGCAGTGCCCCCTCATGCGTCCCCTGTCATTCCTATGCAGACAGACACAGATGAAGACCACGGGTGATGACAAGGTCCTTTCCTATTTGGTTAATTAACATGCATGTGAGATGCCAGCAGAGCCTCTAATCAGTGTGCAGACGGCAGTGATGCTTCAGCGAAATGACAGAGGCTTCCTGTTAGGACTTCCTTTGTCTAGTTGACTTGAGGAAAACAGGCAAGTTCTGATGGGCTCACTCGCATCACAAACAAGGACCTTCTCTGGAGGGCCCGTGATGAGAGTGGGTGACACACTGTCTACACAGCATCTGTCCACCCCAGACCTGCAGGTCGGGGGCTCCGAGTTAGCCCTTCCCAGAGAGGCCAGCTCCTTCCTGTCTGGTGGGCACTGTACCCTCTCAGGTGAGTCACAAGCACTGGTGAGTTTGGGGTCACACAGCATACCCTCCAAAGAGCTGTGTCTGTGAAATTCAGATTCTTTTTACTCTGCAGCATCACCTCCCATATGGTCTCCCCAACAATAGAGGGAAATGAAAATGACTGTCTTTATGTCTGTCAGAGAAGGGAGCTAAACAGCCTTTGGGGATGCATAATTCATGGGCGAGATTCACGGGGGGACTGAGGGCTGCCTGGGTGCAGGTGCGCGGGTGCCAGCCCCTGGGACGTGGAAAACTTCCATTTGAATGAAGGCTGCGCAGTGCTGCCAGGCAGAGCCCGGGTAGTGTCATGGCTGTTCCTCTCCACAGGCAAACGGCCATGTCAGCTTCATGGCCCCCGGGACCTCGCTCTGGAAAAGGTCACCTGGAGGCTCAGAGCTGCAAGGGAAAGGCTGAGCTGCACTTTGAGGGCCCTCGGAAGGAGGCTCTAGGGAGGTCTGGGGAGGCAGGATCCTCCAGGGACAGTCCCAGGTGGAGCCGTATCCAAAGGGCCCTGGGAGAGAGGAGGAAGACCAGGGCCGAAAGGACAGCCACTTCTAACTCTCGTGTCAGTCCCCGAGTTAATGACCTTCATGCTGACGCATCAAGATGCTGCCGGGGGCGTCCTCACACAGGCAACAACCACTCTGTATGGGTTTCTGTTTAGTTCTTTTGATTGTTAGTTTTCTGTGGGGGATTTTTGTTGGTTTTGGTTTTAGTTCACAAAGAGTTTTATATGCCTTTGTTGGCTGTGTTCTAACAGGCCTCTGGAAACAGGTGTTGTTCCTATTTTATTGTTATTTCTATTTTACAAAGGACAAAGCTAGACTCCGAGAGACTGAAATCTTGCCAGAACCAGCCAGTCAGTGGCTGCTCAACCCAGAGCTCTGTACTCCGGGCATCAGAAGCGTGGCTCTGGATACACCCCATTTTACCTCCAGGGCTTCTCGTCCAAAGATAAGGTGTCTCCCCTGCCCCAAGGATTCTGATGACTTTACTTGTTGACTGGTCCGTCTCATGGCGTGGACATGGAGGCCGGTGGTGAGAGTGTTCAGTTGAGAGTTTTCTCAATCGAACAGCCCGGGCTGTGGGCACCGCTGGCATGCTGGCAGCACAGGCTCCCATCTGTGGAAACCGCTATACCCACGAAGCTAAGAGTCAGATTTCAGGGCACTCCCCCAAAATCTGCGCCGATTTTTATTCAGGAGCATAAGGGAAGCACACTACAAATTACAAAGTTGTGGCTACACAGCACCAGAACAATTAGTCAATCTGGATTCAAATCGATTTTAAAATAGATTGAGACAAATTATAGGGTAGACAAAACAGCCCAGCTCTTTTCATGGTCTTTCTTCCATTAGTAGGTTATAAGTGGCCTTGGGCATCACGCCACCAAACAGCGAGGAGAGGAAATGAGGCCGCGTGCTTGAGGCTACGTACGAACCAACAGACCAAGGAGAGAAAATAGACACAACTCGCAGCACCACTGAATTCAGCCCCTGCTGCGGCTGTTTCTAAAATTCCTCCCCATGGGTCGTGGGACTGCAAGACCTGCCCGCAGGTTGAAGGCATTCTCATGGGGTTGGGGCCACATGGAGGCCTCCCCTCTGAGCTAACCCTTTAGGGGAGGCAAATGCTACAAAAGGTAGCGAAAGGCAGGCGCTGCTCATCTGGCCTCTCCCCCCGCAACCTGCCTGTTCTCTGTCCCGTTTTTATTGCCTCCACCAGTGGGATGGCCTTCAGTCACCTTGGGGTTTTCTTCCTTGGGATCTTTTAATGGAATAATTATAATGCTGGACACAGTGCCGTGTCTCACGGGTCAGTGTTTCACAATCTCTCAGCTCCGTGAGCAAGGGCTGCGAGGGTGCCATTTAGAGGTAGGAAGCTGTGCTCAGCTGCGTCACTTAGTCTCACGCAGGCCTCGCTCATCCCCATATTGCCTCCCTCTGGGCCCCATGCTGCTCTCCTAATTCCCCCTGGCCCCCCCTGCCTGCTAATTCTGGAGACATCTGCTGCTCGGCGTGAGAGCGAGCAGAGGGCCAGAGAGCAGGATGGTGCGGGCCTGGGCCTCGAGTAGCCCCGAATGCAGAACTTCCTCTGGAGGCTTAGTTTGCAGGAGCACAGTCTAAGAAACACAAACACAAGCATGCAGGGGTGTTTGTTCTAGAGTGTTCCTGACGGATGTTTAAAATAGTAAAATGATAAAAGAATTCTACATGGAATTCTATACAGCCTTGAAAAATGATGGCATGGCTGTTTATGGACTGCCCAGGAAAGGCGTTTATAATCAAGGTTTTACTATATAGTATAGACATAACTTTGGATGCACTGGGAAAATTCTACATGAGTCACTGTACTGTAATATATGCTTGACAGCACTGGTCTAGCTGAACCTGCAATAGCTCGGAGGTGTGCCTGCGTTTAGAATGCCCTCGATAGTGGTAAATACATATTTTGGGTTTTTATGTTTTGTTTTGTTTTGTTTTGTATTAAATCCTTACTCAAGGATATTTTTTCCATTGATTTTCAGAGAGACTGAAAGGGAGGGAGGAGGGAGAAGAGAGAGAGAAACATCAACGTGAGAGACACATCGATTGGTTGCCTTCCACACATGCCCCGAATGGGGCCTAGGATTGTACCACAAGCGAAGTACATGCTTTTGACCGGGAATCGAACCCACAACCTTCTGCTCTGCCGAGCAACGCTCTAATCACTTAACCAAACCAGCCAGGGTGAAAATACATATTTTGTAAAAGTAAATTTAATTTCCAGATAAGCCGAAGTAATTTCTACCATGCTTCTTTATAGAATAAGGTGGTTGCTGCAGTCTGGGGCTGCAAAATGAGATGAGACTGTAAGAAGATAAAACAGATTCCCTTGTGTGAGTGATCCACACACAAACACAAAGAAACTGGAATATCTAAAAATATATCTATATTTACAGACTGCCCCAAGGTAGGAAAATGAATAATTTCACTTTCTAATGCTATAAGCAAATATATGTAATGTTATTTAATGATAATTAATTTAGTCTAAATTCTTAACCTAGCCATAAGCCATCAGTGGGAATTTAAACATAATCTCTGTCTGTATCTAGTGCACGCTGGAAAATGCATGTCTAGTACTTCAGATAATATCTTGGCAGCACTTCTTGAATGCGGGCGGGGTCAGTAGGTAGGCAGATTCTGTCCCCAAGAAACAACCATGTGAGACTATCAAAACAGCCTTCTAGGGGCTCATGACATTGCCCAAAGGCCAACAATACACCGAGAGGTGCTACTTACCAACCACTGCTGAATTCTGATAAGAACAGTGAAAGTCTCTGGTGTCCTTGCCCTGGGATGTTTCACGCCCACTGCGAGTTTGACCCGTGAAGCATTTTTACCAGGGTGGGACTAGCCGTGGAAACCAGTTTATTGCCAAAGGGGCTGAACTGATTGAGAATGGTGGGTGGAAAATCTGGTCCAAGATATGAATGGGAAAAGCTTGTGCTCTTCCAACCTAAGAATATACTCCTGGTTGGGTCAAGTGCTGGACTGGAAGATACCCCAGCAATCAAATAAGGAGCTCCTGGGCATGGGAGCACCACACAGGAGCTGGGGACGTTTTCTTCATATCCCTGGCTGACACGGTGGCTGCGCAAATGTGTACTTAACACCAAAAAAAGGCAGTAGGAAGAAAAAGAGAAACAACAACAACAAAACCCAGAAACATGTAGAAAACAAAAATCAAAAGGGCAGATGGAAACCCAATCATATAAAAATTACATTTAATGCAAATGGACTAAACACTCCAATCAAAAGGCAAGAGATTGTAAGACAATTAAAGAAACAAGACCCAACTATGTGTTTTCTGCAAGAGACACACTTTAAATTCTGAGATAAAAATAAATTCCAATCAGAAAGATGGAAAAAGATATATCACAAAAACACTAATAATAAAGCTTGCGATAATCCTTCCCTTCCCTTTAGGCTATCAATTCTGCTACTTCTTCCAGCAGGTTTTAGCTGTACCAATGATCCCTTCGCAGAAACATTAGGACACCAAATTAAGGAAGCCACACATGTGTAGCAGCAAAATTACTTCCCAAATGGTCACCACACATGCATTTCTAGCCTTTTGATGCCCTAGGACCACACGCCCCTCTCTTACCTTGCTCACTTTTGCCAATGACCCCTTTTTCCTGTGGGGTGTTAGCGGGAGTCCCCATGTGACCTGCTAGTGCTGGCAACCTTTAAATCCACCTGTAGCCCCATCCCCACAGCTATTACCTAGGTCATTTCTCATCAGAATCTCTGCTGAAGCCCTCACTGGATCTTGGTCACTTAGTCTCTCTCCACTCCTCCCATCTTCCACAAATACTGAAGAGTTAAAGGGCACCCAAAATGCTTCTGTTTCTCTGCATTTTCCCACGCTAGTTTCATTCCCTAATTTTTGCCAGGCACGTGTGGGTTCCCACCGGGTCACCACATCCCATTCCCATAGGCCTATGAGAAGCACATCCTGACCTCCAGCTCCTGAAACTCCTCTTCCTCCTCTACATCGTAGGAGAGGGTGTGGATTTTGATGTCATCAGCTGAGAGGTCAATGAACTTCCCATCGGGGTACTCCAGGCTCTCTTTGGTGGGCGAGCGGTCCTCAATGAAAGTGGTCTCGCAGCAGTCAGCAGCCACGCCATCCCCCCAGGAGCGCAGCATGCCCTCCGAGTAGAGGATGATGTTAGGATGGTAGTGGGACTCCACTGACTGCTGAAGGGTGTTGGGGTCCAGCAGCTGCTGGACTGGCTCATTCCTGCTGCCGTCCAGGGCGGCTGGTGCTGCACTGCCTGCCAGCCGGCAGTTCTGGTACTGGGGGGCTGGGTAGACAGACACCAGGCCATCTCTGCTCTCGGCCATGAAGTTTCTGGTGTTAATTAGGCCATTCCTCTTGCCAGCATCGGTGATTTTACTGTGCATCAGCATGCTCCTCTGTTCAATTATGCCATCCATGCTGCTCACCCTGCCCAGCTGGCTGTCAGGCCGTGGCTGCAAGGCTGGACTTCAGGGTCACACTTGCCTCAGGGAACCCATGTCTCCTGGAGGGGGGGAAACAGATGAGACAAGAAAATCACACCCAGAAAAAGCTAATCCCTAGGCCCTTGTTCTTTCTGGTGTATGAGTCAGCCAACACATACAGTGGCTAGGAGAGCGAGATGATATTCCAGCCCCACCTCATCCGCCAGTTTTAGTTTTTATTTTCTAAAGAATTTTTAATTGTTTGTTTTTTGGGGTTTTTTTTGGGTTTTTTTAGAGAGAAAGAAAGGGAGAGATAGAAACATCAATAATGAGAGAGAATCATCGATGAACTGCCTCCTGCACTCCCCCTATCTGGGATCGAGCCTGCAACTGGGGCATGTGCCCTGACTGAGAATTTAATTGGAAACTTTTCAGTGCCCTGGACAAGGCCCAACCAACTGAGCCACATAGGCCAGGGCATCTAATCCACCAATTTTCCAAAGGCTCTATCAGAGCAGCCGGCCAGTGTATAGCAGAAACTGATTGATTGCATCTCTAGAAAGTCTCTGTTTCCAAAGAAGACTCTGCAGACATTGGAACCACTGCAGTTCTAGAGCGATCTATGATGGCAGCACTCATCCTGAATCGCACAGGTAAACCCAGTCCCCGGGAAAATGAGCTGTACATCCTAACAGAGCTGGACCCTGCCAGGGCCATGGCTAAGCATTTAAGCAAAAAACACACACCCAAAGAGGAAAGGGTTTAGAATAACGTCCCACAGAGATTTAGAAAATAAATGCCAAGAAGACCCCCTAACCATTAGTACTGCATATGGACAAAAGTCTCCAACTGAGGAAATACATGTACGTTCTAGTACATTCTGATGTAGGTATTAGAATTAGCTCAACACACATGCCTACTGGCCTCCCAGCAAAGTCCCAGTAATCAGACTAGAAATTTCTTTGCCTTAATGATGCTTGACTTAGAGAAGCATCTACATATTAGGGAAACAATTAAGAAGGCCTCCAATTGTTTCTCCCTAGATTGTGTTTCTTTCTAGGGGTCCAAATACCTTTTACCAAAAGAAAAAGACACACAAGCTGAAGATTTTTGGAGATAAAGAGTGAACTTTCTCAGACTTTTCATCTTTGCAAGTTAACTACATTTAGGAAAATATTCTGTCTTGGGGGCTTAGGGGACTCTGGCTTTCTATGAGATTTAAGCATTTTCTTATATAACTGTTTTATTTAGTGGTAGTTATAGGAATCTGCAACTTCAGAATGACTAAAGGAGGAGAGTTAGAGAGGACACCTTGATGACTAACTGGAAAATAATATTTTAATAGCTGACAAATGACTAGTCTAACTCCAGTATATGCACTGAGAGAGTGGTCACTTTTATTAATGTTGCACTGTGTCACGTTTAAGAGAGGTCAAAAACATACTCCCACGTCTGCTTACGTAGCACAAAGAAATATTTGGCTCCGGAGGCGCATTCACAGACTGAGCACTTAAAACCATTGATTTAAATATTTGAACAAGATTTGATGAGCACTGGCACACAGGGCACATGTGTTTGAGCATCATTTCGGTGCTTGTCATCTTCCAAGATAGCACAATATGCTCACTGAGGTGTTTCAGGTCCAAACACTACACTTCTTTAGTCTCCCTCCTTCCACAGAGAAGCCACTGGGTTGGTCTCAATATCAGGCCCCTCATCCGGTTTGCGATCTGTTGGATGTACTATCAACACTAGAATAATTTTCCTGAAGCCCAGTTCCTTCTCAGACTTGGCTCTTTCCACCCAGATCCACTGTAAGTATCTTCCAAAAGATACTTGGTCCGCATTTCAGCTCCTTGCCCAGCCAGGGTAGCCGCTTCCTTTTCTGACCTGTTCCTGCTGGTGCAGAGGGATGAGCTTGGAGCCGGGCTTCAGACAAAGGAGGAAGCTAAGAGGTGAGCCCCAAGCAACAGCTTCCAGAAAGCCTATACTATTATATGCCGCTTCTCCAGGAACCACATATGTGGAAATAAAGGTGAATGAGAAATTGTTTTGGCATCTGGTGTTGCAGATGTTGATGGTCCCTGTCTGTACGCCCTTGGCACTCATCACTGCAGCATTCACCAATGGCGTCCAACCATAATCTATCAAAGATGCTATCGTGGTCCACATGTTTGATGGGCTGGGGAAGAAGCAGCCTCGGCCACCATACGCAAAAGGATAAAGCCACCAGCCCCTGGCCTGCAGGTGCTGTAACTCTGAAAAGGTCCTGCTTTGTCTCCCCAGCAGAACTGACCCTAGTCACCCTTGGTGGTGACTCTTGATAATGAGCCATTTATTGGCTTCCCTCCTTTCTGTGCTTAATTCCCCACCATTTCCCCTGAATCTCTTCCCAAGGAAGTCACATGTACCCAAGTCCTTGGCTTCGGCTCCAGTTTCTCCTTTATTCTAATATCCCCTCCCGACTGAATGAGAAAATGGGCTGCAGGCTGCCTCACCCATTGCCTAACTTCTCTCCTCGTATGGCTGACTCAAACCTGCGCCTCACATGGGACCTGGGGTCCACAGGCACAATTCTCTGTCAATTCTGGGCATCGGTGTGGTCTGTGGTGGACCACGCTGACCTGGCTTGGCAGACTGAGGAAGAGCCACCTCGCAGAGGGCTTTAAACAAGATGAGGACAATCCCTGGACTGTGCCAACAGGGAGCATAGTTCCTTTTCAGCAACGAGGACAGGCTGAAGCATCCAGATAAGGAACTTTCCTGGTGGGAGTTAATGTTATATGACTTCGAGAGACTTGGATTTTGGAAAGTGTAGTTTGAGATCTTTTCTATCCAGCTTACAAGGTGAAAAAAAACAGGGACAATATGTCAGAACACTGGCCACCCTTAACTCCAGTAGCACCAAGGAGGACTGTTATGTTCTCAATCTCCTCAGGGGGAATTTCTTTCTTCAAAGCCGGGCTTCGTTTCCTGGGAACTTGGATGTGTTTATCTTAATTGTATTTTCCTTTCTGGGTATGTTCGGTGTGCTGCCAGTTAGATACATGTTTTAGATAAAGGTTTAACTTACCTAATTTCATGTGCCTTTGCTCTTAAAACACTAAAGATAGGTGTGCCTGGGTGGACACACCATAGCTGGGGCAATGGGTATGTTCTCAGCCACAACTAAATTAACCAAAATAGAAAATTCTTCCATTAAATTATTTATAAATAGAACCTGGTGGTGACAAATTGAAACACTTGGGATAAACTGGGGCTGGGACTCGATGGTGTGGGGAGCTAAATCCTAATCCAAGCCCCAAGTTCAGCAATGAGAGTATATCACAGACTCACTTTTATTTCTGCTATCCTGGGGCATCTATCTATTCTGAACCCCTTCAAAGAAAACATTTTCCTTTACACATGCTGTTCTGTAGTGGCAGAATAGGGAGATTGAGAAAACTGAAGCTTTCAATGACATGTCTTCATAGACTTTTCAAAACTTGCTTCGAGTGCACCAGGGTGAGCCTCTTTCCTTCTGTATTTGGATTTCTGGTCTCCTGAATAAGCCGTAGCCTCACTATGCTCTTATGTCTAAGACCTGGCCTTCGAAGGAAAAACACTGAGGTCTGCCAGTCAGCTTACACACCCTGAGCTGGTCAGTAAAGGAAACTGTGTTACATGCCCTTCAGTAGCCTCGGACTCCGGAGACGCTATGAATGAATGACATCCACCACAGCCCAGCTCAGCTGCTATAGACTCCAGCCTATCGCTTCTTTTACGGGGTCAATCCATTGCATATTTGGTCTTCCTCTTTTCTTCCTGCCTTCTATTTTTTTCCAGCATCACTGTTTTTTCCAAAGGAGCAAACTATGAAAACAACAAATATAGGTGGATGTCACCTGGGATCCTATTAAATTCAAGTTTTATTATAAATGTTGCAGTGCCGCTAAAAAACAAACCCCAAAAACATAAGAAATCAATGTGGATGCCTGAAATCTACCCAAAATCAGCTGTGATGTTGGGAGAGAAGGGCAGATTGGGGGCATGGATATGCAGGAACCAATCTGGTCCCCTCCCCCGATTCCACTGGAAGAACCTGTGGCCTAAACATCAGTGAGCCAAGAAGATACTTTCCATGCTTCACCTCACTTTTCATGCCAATTCTCAGAAACATGCGCCCACTTCTCTCTGAGATCATTTTCCCCATGGCTTCCCCAACTCCCTCCCAAGACAGTGCCCCCTACTCTGCCAGGCCACCCTCTTCTATCCAGCCGGCAAGTGTTGGGTTTGAGTCCTTTCCTCACTCATGCTGTCACTGTAGCCCATGGTGCCAACTATCACCCACATGCCAGTGACCCCTAAATCCATGAGAAGCTCCACCAGGAGACTGCTCAAGTTCAAAAGTACCAAGTTCAATATGCATCAAACCCTCTGCTGGTTTATAACCCCACCCAATGTCCATGAACAATCCCACCACCTGTCCACCTGTCCAAGTTTCAGACCAGGGAGTCTGTTTTGCCATTACCTTCTCCTCACCATCAAAACTTAGTCTTTGACAAGTCCTGCCAATTCCTCCACCTATCTCCCCCCGTCACCCTAGTCAAAGCTGCCATCATCTCTCACCCATACCACTTCTACATATCTTTTATCTCTTCCCACACATGCTTTCTTGGTCAGTGCAATGATCATAGGGGTCTCTTAGGAATACAATTGATCTTGTAACACTCTTGTCTAATTAGTTTGCTGACACTGCCCCTGGGTAGACAAAAGGTCTTGGTGTAGCTCATGAGACCCAGCATAAGCCAACTCCTCAACTCTTGCTCCCCACCCCCAACTTTCTTTGCTCCAGGCCCACTGGCCTTCTTTCACTTCTTTGAAGTAAAAGCTGGTCTTTATGAACTACAGAGTTCAAGTTGAGATGTTGATCCACTCTGAAGAAAGCTGAAAACTAATAACCTGCATGCTTCACAGCAAGAAAGATAAAACCTGATCACTCAGTCCCTCAAATAGCCTTATAGCTATAGACGGAGATCTAGAGCCAAAGTTAGGACTGGTTAGCCCACAGGTGACCTGAGAGTGATCATCAAGTCTAGCTTGCATAGGTTTCTTCACTTTGTCTCAATCCTCACCTCTCCCTATTTTCTTTTGATGTGCTTCTTTAAACAGCTTTGTTATTTATGTGGTCCCTTTATGCATCTTTACTTGGAGTAGATATATCAAGATCAACATTGCACTAAAACAAGCAGTGACCCACGCACCAAAAATGTCTGCACTTGCCGGATCCCACATATCTTCTTTCTAAGAAACAGACTCAGTCAAATAAAATTTATCCAACCCAATCATTTAACAAATAGGCACTGAGAACCTGCCCTGTAGCAGGCATCATTCTCATTGCTGGGGGTACTTAGGGGAACCAGTCAAAAGAAGCCTCTGCTCTTGTGATGCTGGTGCTCTACCTAAAGGTGAAAGATAGACGGTAGATTTAATAAGTGAGTTATGCTGATGAGAGGAATGGACAAGCTAGAGCAGGGTAAGAGAGATTGGAGAGCTGAGCTGGGGCAATGAAGCATTCCCAGTGGAGTGCTTTTAGGGGATGCTGCTCATGGCAGTGCAGTATTCTTTCAAAGAGAACCTTGCAGCACATCTCAGGGACAGAAATAGATGAGCTTCTCATGAGTCCCTGGACTATTTTTATCACTTGGACACTGTGAGTCATGTTGCTGATTGTATCTCCCTCTTTTCATGGCTGCTGATGAGCTTACAACCAGTTCTGGACATCAACATAGATATTTGGGGTACTGACTTCTCTCCTGGTTTTATCTCATTTTTTTTCCTAATTTTTTTCCCTTCACCTTGTTATCATCACCTAAGAATTAAGTTAGTTGATAAACCAATCCTGTTATATTGCCGTGTGTCTTTGTCATGCTCTGGGTGATAAATACCATGTGTAAGCAACCCATTTTCCAGGTAGATTTCCATTCATGAGCAGCTCTTCTTCCAGCAAGAAAATCTAGTCTTGTTCCACATCACCAGGAAGAGGTGGCTGAGAGGAAAGGAAGGGGGCCTTGATTGCTCACCAGCATCACTTGAAGATCACGGAGTTTCTGAGGCCCTGACCATGAATCTGGGGCAAAGGACCATTCACACATCTGGGATAAAGGACCCTTGAGACTTGGAAAGGAAATGTGATATGCTTAATGCTATGGCTTCTGAATAAGCATTGAACATAATTTTGTGGAAGTAAATGTCCACTGAAGACCGTAACTAGTCATAATTTATAGTAAAATAAATATAAATGCAGGTAAAACTCTATGGAAGGTGCTTTCCATATAAATCAGAAGCATGCATCTGATGGTAATCATTAGAAAGCTGCCAGCACTCATCTTACTTCAATGGCCTTTGATTTTATTACCTTTAATGGCAAAGGACAGCCCCACAGGCCTTCACGCCTTCCTGACAGGAAGCCAAATGGCAACACACTGCACTGCGGAGAATCTACATTTGATGTGAAAAAGTAGATGAGCTCGTTCGTAAGAGATTTGAGGTGAGACATCCATGGATTAACACTCTTGCTGCTGGGGTCCAAGTAATGATTGTTTCACAGTCGTATTCTTTCCCATCAGGCTCCAAAGGAGAAGACTCATTTGCGAGGATCCTGATATTATCTTCCTAAAATTTACTCCTGTCTGTGCTGGGATGTGATTCATCTTGAAAGGGTTTTGTCACTCTTTGAATTAGGGCAGTAACATCAATGCACAAGCAAAGCCACTTTGCAAGTGACAATGCCTCTCAATGTGACTCATCAATCCCTAGCTCACCTCCTGTCCTAGGAAGAGCCCACTTAGAAAGTAGGAGAGAAGCACCTAATGCAGACAATTCTACCATTTCAATTAGGCTATGACTCCTATGTCCATGGGGATGCCTAAGACTTCCCACTGGGAAGCCCTCAGACGAGGATTGAAGTGTAAATAGTTCATTAGAGAGGTGGTTGCAGAAAGCACTGGGCAGGTAGTGGTAAGGCAGAGGCCAAAGAGAAGCCAAGAGAGTATGTGCAATTAACCCAGTATATGCTGCAGGCAGCTGGGGCTTAATCTTGCCCAGACGTCGGGGAGGCCATGTAAAATACACACTCTGAGTTCTCTTCCCGAGGGTGAGGGAAGCAGGGCATGTGTACACAAACTCCCTCCCCATCATTGGTCAGCGGCTGCCCCAGGAGCATTCACTCTTTGGCCCTGGCAACTTGCCCTGGTGTGGGCTGAGTGGTCTTCCACTGTTGGAAAAGAGCCCCCAGGTAGAAAATCTCAGATGTTAGGTGGAAGAAGCTTTGGACGTGCAGAGGTGAGTCCACAGAAGATACCCTGGACATAAAACTCTCGGATGAGACACCACAAGTGGGATTCTTTTTTTAACTCCGTAAGTTACAGCCTACAGTGTGATGGATGGATAGTATCAGAGGAAAGATGGACCAAGTGCCTCACAATTCAGTACGTCACAACCATCCTGTGAAGAAGACACTGTTATTACCACCAGCATATGCAGTAGAAGGAACTGAGATACAGAGAGGTAAAGTCAGCTGCTAATGGTCAGAGAGCTACTAAGAGGCAGTCCGGCCTCAGAGCTCCTGGCTCCAACTCTGTGGAGCTTCATATAGCTTCCCATCAGAAATGTAGCTGGCCATGCAAATAGACCCAGCCAAAAATAAGGCCTGAAATAAACTTGAAGGCTCATTAATGGGATCCAGCAAGTGGGTGGGGAAAATCTTCATTAGCTGCTGTTGCTCAGCAGTGTCACATATACCCAGGGCTGGAGTGCTGTGAGTGAGCCAAGTCAGCTCCAGCTGCCATCAAAATGCCACGGCTTAAACAACATTCATTCATTTCCTCACAGTTCTGGAAGCCAGGAAGGCTAAAGTCAAGGTGCCTCTGACTGATTTGGTTTCTGGGGAGGGCCCTCTCCCTACTTTGCAGATGACCTCCTCTGTGTCCTCACATGGCCTTTTCTGGGAAAGAGATTCCTCTTTTTACAAGGCCACTAATCTCATCATGAGAGCCCCATCCTCATGACCTCATCTAACCCCAATTCCCTCCTAAAGGCTCCACTTCTAAATACCATCACAATGGAAGTTGGGGCTTTGACATGGATTGTGGGCGGAGGGACACATTCAGCCCCTAGCACAATAAAATAATAATTCTCAAGAGCTTTTCTTATTATATATAGAAATACAGTATTCAAAGCAAAGCACATATATACTACTATATAAAGTATAAAGTAAAATGCATGATACACTTTATATAAAATATGCCAATATGCTGTCTCTGTAGATAGGTAGGTAGATGCATTTCTTTTTCTAAAGGCTTCAAAAGATTTCAGATGCCTGCTGGCTTGAGAAATCTCATTTTTACATGTAAAAAATTTGTTTATAATGTAGAGTTAGTAAGCTACCTGCTTCTACTTAAAACTTGTCTCCCTCGGGACCCCCTGGGGTCCCTGCTCTGTCAGCTTGAGCCTATGATCACCATCTATTTTATTTATGGGGAAAGGATCTCCTGTAGCACAGACTTCCAAGGAGAAATCACACATCCATGTCTTGTGCTCTTCCTGGGGCAGTGCTGATGTTCTAATAGACCGGCTGAGATGAGCAGCATTTTAAAAGCTGTGTCTCAACTAAGGGCATTGTGGAGCCAGGCATGGGAGTCCTGCCTAAAGCGCAATGCCGTGAGCACCTCAATCAGCGCCCTGAATTTCATGTTCCCAATGCTGGGGATGGTGCCCAGCATCTGAATTAAGGCAGAGGCAAAAGGAAGAAAAGTATCTACTTCTGTCTACCAACTAGAAACACTGGACTCTCTAAGTTGATATGAAAATGCTCAGGTAGTTTAATATTCTGTAGAAACTCATGGAAAAGAGATTAAAAACAGAACTGGATAGAAAGGAAGGCAATACTTTCTCTTATAATATAAAAGGCGTTTCTATTTTCTTCTGTCATCTTCTTCCAATTGTATTTACTGCAACTGTATTAACATCTTCCAATTATATTTATTCATTTCTTAAAGAAGCACTGCAGTCGCCATTTGGGTCATTAGTAGGATACAGATCAGTGAACAAGAACATTCCTAAGAGGACCAGGGTTGCTTCTGTCTGCACAGAGGCCCACACGCTCCCCCTCCAATGAGTGGATGACTTTCTGGCCTTTTTTGTTTCACCCATACCTGTACCTTCTGGCCATCTGACTTCCCAGCTAACCTCAGGAAAGGCGTGAGAATGAGGTGAGAGTGACTATGACACTTCTAAAGGCAGCTATTTGCATCAGAAACGTGCTTTGCTCAGAATCATTCAAATTAATGGCACACTTTACAAGGCATCTATCATCTCCACCCCCTTCGCTGATAATCAGGAGCCAGCTTTACATTTATTTATTTCAACCATGCATAAAGATTTTCATCTTGTTCTACAGAGCAAGTTTTTAAGTGACGGGAGAGTGGCCACTCCTTGCTTTATCGAGAATGCTCCCTTTAGCCCGGCTAGCATGGCTCAGGGGTTGAGTGTCAGCCCATGAACCAGGAGGTCACGGTTTGATTCCCGGATTCGAACTCGATCCCCAGCAGGGGGCGTGCAGGAAGCAGCCTATCAATAACTCTGTCTCATCATTGATGTTTCTCTCTCTCCCTCTCCTTTCCTTTCTGTGAAATCAATGAAAAAAATTTTTTTTAAAGTCTCACTGACATGTCTGGTGGTTCCTGGTAGCTGTTAGTGGAAACACATAATAGCCTGGGCTCTTTCACAGGTTGGTGGACAAGATCCAAAAGAGCAAGTTCACGTGCACAAGGCTCCTTCATGAAGCCTGGGTTCAGGTCGGGCACATTTCCAGTCCCACTTTGCTGTGCTGGTCAGCGTCAGTCATGAGGCCAGTCCAAGCCCAAGGGGGCTGAAACGAACCCCTCCTCTTAATGGGACATGTGGGAATGTCCCAGTGCAAAGGTGGGTGTGTGGAAATGAGGAACTGCTGAGGCCCACACTTACAAACAAGCTACCACACTTCACATGGGGCGAAATGGTGAGGAGGAAGCCAAGGCAGGGGGTTACCACGCAGGTGCACACATATACACGTATACACACGCCCACTGTGCATGTGTGTGTATTTATGTGTGTGTGGTATGTATTCGTGTATTTATTTGGCCACACTGCATGCCAGGAAGTAAACAGAGCACAGAGGCGAAGCTCAGTCAGGATGCCCATGGCCTGCTGCCTTCTGAGCCTAGGCTCTAGCCCCGCGTCCTTGCAACTCTCACCTCAATGAACCCACAGGCACGGCCGTTGCCAAATCTAGCATTTGTTTTTTACCTCTAAGTGTTTAAATACAAGGGACACTAAGATCGTGTTCTTTTTATATATATATCATAAGACAAACCTTAAGTATATTATATTTTTTGACCCCCAAATTCAGGTTATATAAGTTTACATAAGGTAAATAAAATCACATATAAGAGTCGTCAGCCACCGGGCCGGTGTGGCTCGGTGCTTGAACGTCAACCTATGAACCAAGAGATCGCGGTTCGACTCCCAGTCAGGGTACATCGCCCGGTTGCAGGCACGACCCCCAGGAGGGGGGGTGTCAGAGGCAGCCAATGGATGTTTCCCTGTCACCATCGATGTTCCTATCTCTCTCTTCCTTCCTCTCTCTCAAATCAATTTTTTTTTTAAAGTTGTCAGCAAGCTTGCCCTGTTGGCATCTCCAGCGAAAACAGCTTTTACCCTTCCTTGCCGGAGACCAGGGACAGTGGATGCAGCCCTCTTCTTCCATGCCTCCAAATGCCTCAAATGCCTCCCCCTACCCTCTCCCACCACCCTAGCCCTTTACTACCTGGCTGCCCAAAGTGTGGCCTGGCAGGGACTAGCAGCATTGTCATCACCTGGCACCTGTCAGAAACTCAGGATCTGGGGCCCCCACCCATTCCGGCTGAGCTAGACTCTGCACGTCTGCAGACCCCGGGTGCGTTGTGTGGGCATTGGTTTGATAAGTGCAGCTTTAAAAGATGTTCCAGGAAGCACAACTGGTTCAGCTGCTTCTTTAATATTATTGACCAAGTCAATTTATATTCTTTACATGATCGGTGTGTAAACCAACGTTTCAATATCCCCAGATTAATCTATTCTGCAACCAAGTCTGAGAACCACCTGAACCCGGGCTACTCAAAGTGAGGCAAGAGCATCAGCTGGCTGCTTGGTGGAAATTCAGGATCTCCCTCCCTGGGCCACTACATCAGAACCTGCGTCTTACCAGCTCCCGGGAGATGGTGTGCTCACTCAAGCTGGACACCTCTGCTCAGCCTCAGTCCAAGTCCTCTGCCTGGCTGCCCTGGCCCAAGCCCACGCCCAAGCCCTGCCCCCTCTCTTGTGCCCACATACTTGCCATCCCTCCTACACACACCACACACAACTTCAGAGTTACCAGCAAACCAGTCTTGTGTTCACAAATGCACACAGTGCGGTCTTCCCATCCCACGTCTATCTCATATGCGCCTTGGTGTCATATGTGACAATTACCGGCTGACTGGAGATCCCACCACAGGACATTACCTTTGCCCACTGTCTCCTCCTCATCTGAGGCTTTCTTATAACCAAGAGTGTCTACAGATGCAGCTCTGGCAAGAGAGCGCAGCAGGCAAATGGCTCTGTCCATCTCTCCCACTCTCTGCCTTGACCTCCCATGTGCTGTCTGAGGCCGTAGCAGCCACCCAGGAACCAGAAGGATGCTCGAGATGCAGCCCCGAGGCCACTGAGCCTCTGAGTCAGCACCTCCCAGCTCACGGCTTGTATCACCGTGGAAGAATAAACTCCATAGCTCAGCTCCTGTATCCCTGGTTTTCCTTCATTTGTCGCTGTTTCATGTCTAACCTATGTACTCACACAGTTGCTTAAACCAGTCTGTTTTGCACATGAAGAAGAAGAGGGGAAAAAAGCAAAAAACCTAGATCCAAATCAGCTTTTCCGCTGTTTCTGTATAAATCTGGAGAAGTTATTACACAGGCAGGGACATAAAACTTCCATTTTTTCTCACCTTTCCCTTCTACTTCTCCAGTGAAAACTCTGGAGAAAGGGAGGAATTGAACGCAATTCCTAAGACCTAAAATTCACGTACATAGCAACTAAGGCACCCACAGAATGTGCAAAACTGGGGCTACTAATCTATGTCTGGGTTTCTGACTATGGACCTAACAGAGACAGTATCACACTCTACAATGCACTTTTGAGAAACAATAGGACACACTAAGAATTCATATTGACATTAGAAAATAAGAAAGTGGGAGACTCCATATACCAGAAATATGGATCTAGATCATTTTCTGGTGAGAAAAGATTTCAAGTTTCATATATTCATTGCCTATAAAGCATGTAATTTGAGTATTTTAATTTTAGTATTTGTGTCATATATTTTCCAAAGGTGAACACGATGTTTCCCATCCCACAACTATGCCACAATGTGGCCTTGGCAGTGTTCTGAGAGGCGTGGACTCTGCCCCCTCTCATGCACCTACGTGGGCTTGTGACTCCCATGTAACTGATGGCATGTGGCAGCAGTGTTGTTGTGTGACTCTTGAGGCTACATCAGGAAAGTCCATGCAACTTGCTAGGAGACTAGCACTGAAGGCTTGAGCAGCCACTGAGGGAATCCAGTACCTGGAGGCCACCTTGCTGTCCTCCTACATGAAGTCCAATGTAGTTCAGGTGGCCAGACTACGTGGACAGTTCCTAGGGTTTCAAAGAACTGCCAAGCTGGCCCCCGGCTACCCAAGTTCCCTGCTCTTCCAGCTCTGGTACCCTCTTACTGTACCCTAACGATAAACTGGAGCTGGAAGCACCCAACTGGCCCCTCTCAAACTCCCAACCCTCCAAAACTGCGAGCCTTCCATGCTGGTAAGTTCTGGGATGTGTCAGAAGCAACAGAGAACCACAGCTGTCTATGAAATGATCAGACTCTGTCTACAGTTTCTCTTCTGGGTCCCAGATCTGAGTAAACACCATGGGAGCAGATCAGATTGCGAGGCCGCACCAAAATGCCTCATCCTAGTACCCGACCGTTACGGCTTCTTTCATCCTGCACCCTCTGTCTGGAAGACCTCAGTGTATTTTATTTCTTCAGCTAGATGCTGGATCTTATGGCAGTCCTATTTTTGATTTTTGAGGAAACTCCATAATGTTTTCCATAATGGCTGTACCAGTTTACATTCCCACCAACAGTCCACTTCCTCGCCAACACTTGCTATTTCTTGTCTTTTTGAGAATAGCCATTCTAACAGGTGTGAGGTGATGTCTCATTGTGGTTCTGACTTGCATTTCCCTGATGATTAGGGATGCTGAGCACCTGATGGCCACCTGTATAAAAATTTGATTCATATCATCTAGAGTAACATTAACTGAACTCCTAGATAAATTCTTTTTATGACAGTAAGTATGTAAAATTGTCCCCTGGGTTGATCTGAAGTCTGCTTTTGGTTGCAGCTTTTATTTTTATTATTTTCCACATGTGCAAGTTCTTTCTTGGTTGTGTCATGCTTAGTTTTAACAGTCATCCTGGGTCACAGTGCTCATCTGTTGTTTTTTTAGCTCTTTTACTTTATGTAATTGAACAGGTTACCACAAAATGGTGTAAGATTGACTAGGACTTTTGGTCTAAACAAAGTTTGTAACTGAATCATCAGATATTATAAATAATGGTTCTTTGTAGTTCATTGGTTATCTGCTTTATAATATTGTATCCTAGAGAATATGCATCATATAATTTTTATAATGTGATGTGCATCTGTTTAGCTGTGTTACATTTTCTTGTGTTAAAGCTATTGCCCATAGCCTTTCCTACACATTCCCTTTAAACCCCAGCAGACATGACCGTCTACACCGCTCAGGCACGTCCCTACGTAGTAATGCATGCCTACATGGACCTACACACACTGTCCTCACTCTGACTCCGGCCAACAATGAGTTGTAGGACACAGGCACAATGAAGGCCTGAGCTCATTTTCTCTTCTCGGAGAACCACGGGGGTACAAAGGAAACATTCTATTGAGACACACAAAAGTGTTCTCAATCCATTCTTCCCCATATAAAAAACTGTGACAACCTTGCATAATTTCGCTTTCAAAATCCTGGGAAGAACATGGATGAAAAGAAACAGTCTCAGAAAAGTTAAGTGGTCTGAGATCACTCAGCAAGCAAGCAGCAGAGCCGGGAGTTTGAAACCTAGTCCTCTCACAGGCACAGTGAGAAAATAGCGTGGGGAGGAGGGGCAGTCGTGGACATGAGAAAATCACCAGTGTCTCCCCCACGCCTCCCTCCCCACCCCCAGCTGAAAGTCAGGGTGCGGCCTGAACGGTAGCCTGGTGCCTGAGAGTGACTGCAGCCCCTCTTTGAAACGCTTGTTTATGAACTCTCTGGAATAACCTGAAATGTCTACGCGCCTGGCACAGAGAATGCTGAACAGTTTGTTAAAACCACCTACCACTCCGTTCCAATTCCAGCCACACGGGCAGAAACTTGGTCAGCCTATCTTTAATGTTTTGAATATTTAATGTTTGACTATCTTGACTGTTTTGCTTTTCTGACATATCGACCCAGTGTCTGCAGTGTACTGAATGCTGGGTCAAGAGCTATGCTCCAATGTCGCCTCACATCACCGTGTTTCCACAAAACAGCCGTGTGACTTTCCACGGAAACAACAACAGACTGTTTGGCTACTCGGTCCCACTGCTTGGCTGCTGCTGACAAATGAACACCCCATCCGTCCACATTTGCCACCTTCGCCCACTCATGCACAGAATTTTGCTGGCAGATTGAAGTCTGTACACATTACAGGTCACAATCAGTCCGTGGTGAACATGAGAGTCTCCAGTGTGCACGGGGATCCTGCAGAGGAAAAAGTGAGGGGCTCGGGGTCATGCTGGTGTCATAGAAAGATAAGGTTTTATTTAGGGGGAGAAAGACATAAAACTGCTCACTTACAGGATGGTTGTTCATATTCCAGAAGAGAAGCTAAGGATGCCTTTAAATAGTCACCGTCTAAAGGTACTCTGCAGTCAGTCTGGCTGAGTCCTCCTACAATGTCACTGACAATTTTTAGAAACAGCTTTGATATAAACGAAGGTGCAGAGGTGTGCAGGGTGTAGGGGGACCATGTAGGCGTGAGTGGAGGGGTCGCCCTCCCACTGTCTCTGGAGGCCTTCCCCATGCCATTTTCCAGCCAACAGAAACCACACTGAAAATCAAATTCGAGCAAGGAGCACGCCTCTCCAGAGGGTGCTGTGACCAGCGTGATGACCAAATGTTTTCTAATCGAGAGATGGAATATTTAGTACTCTTCAGAAACCTCAGAATAGCAATGACAAGTGTCTTCGATAGAAAACTTACCTAAGAAAATATATTTTTACTCTCTTATAATAGCAATAACTCCCAAGGAAAAAAATCAGTTAGATTCAATGAGAAAAATGGGTCGAGTCCAGTGTAGAGCCACTATTACGTCAGGCTAAATGTGGAGGAAATTGTTTATTGTCTACGAAATAATTTTTAAAGCTTCTACCAAAAGAAAGTTATTTTGCCTATCACGGTTCAACTAGCTTCTTGTGTATCTACTGCCCATCAAATGGTTTAAGTCAAAACC